TGGCTTAGAAAAATAACCAAATAAATCATTCTAATTAAGAATAGTTTTGGACACCCCCATTCACAATTTCTGCACCAGGTGCTCAGCAGTAGACTAGAGACTGTCGTCTTGTTTGTGTCTCAATTTCTTTGCCAGTAAAACACTTTGGAGATTATTACCAGAAATATTTGACTTTTTATATGCTGCTTAATTGGGACAGAATCTTGTCAAAGTACCACAGAGTTCACTGGAGATCATGTTTTGTTTCTAATTTGGAACTGGACATTGGTGTAATGTACCACCCACAAAGACAATTTGGACCAGAAAAGTTCCTAAAAGCCACACCAGGATTTGACAGTTTGACTTCTTACTTTCATTGTTTAAGAAAACAGAGCATGAAGCTTAAAGAGTCCATAAATAGCGGCTATACAACCATGTGAAAAATGACTCAATGACAAAGTATGGAAATACATATCCAAGAATCCTGGAAACACAAAATAATAAAACATATTAAATGTTTGATCATTGTGGCATCTGTATTTTCCAAAATAATACAGAGGATTAGACAGATTTGGTATTGTAATCTTATTTCTAGATACTTAACGGTTACTTAACAAAATTCAGATTAAAGGCTGTATTTTGATCACATAATGATGATCATTGCAGAATGTCAAGGCATGTAAAATAGTTTTGTCTTTCATTTCTCCAATAAATGTTTCCATGTAATCCTATAAGTAATCACCTATACAAAAGTATTGTAATAGTGTTTTAAACTTTTTTTAAGGCTTACACACTTAATGAGGTGAATTGTGGTATGATTAAAAATAAAATGATACTCCTGTAAAACTTTGAATGTACATTTGGCACCTTTAACATATTTCCTATTACCACATTTGTTATCAGATTGCAGTAATCCATCCATATTTCATCTGTTCCTTCCCAAATATGCTGAGAATAAATCAAATCCAGCCACTGGATAACTTTGAGACTGATACCATAAAATAAAAAAAAACACAATTTTTAACATTCTCAACCTTCTAGGCTTGAAACTAAAAGAGACCACAGCATCAACAGTCTCACACACAGCTCTCAATGCACAGGCCCTCCACCATAAACACTATTCACCAACACATAAACCAAAACTCCTAACAAATCTACCACAAGCTGCAGTCGCCCTCAGTTAGGTTTTAAGGAGAAGGTTCCTACCGCTTTGCTGCTGGGCACGGTGTGTGCCATCCATTGCTCCATAGGATCCCACTGTGGAGTTGGATGTGACAGGCTGCTTGAGTGGAGAGGCAGCGTGTGTGTGTATGCCTGAGTGTGAGAGAGCGTCAGGGTGTTGTAAGTGACTTAGCCAAACTGTGTGTGTGTATCTGTGGATGCTTATAGTACATGTTCACATCTCTGTAGGAATGCCATGTAGGGGGCTGGGTGTGTGTCAGCAATATAGTATGAGGGCTGTGATTGGTAAGTGTGTGGAGTGTAGTACGTAGTTAATCAAGTGTCCCCTATAGAACATGGCCATAGTTAGAAAAGCTATGAGTGTCACTAAACTGTTAATGTGTGTGTCCAAGTGTGCAGTGAGGCATGGTTCCAGTTTATCTCTGCACTGTTCAGTGGTCTGCTCAGCCCTTCATGCCTCTCTAAACACTGAGGAAGACCTTTCTCTTTCTTGCCTTTTCCTCCTAGTCACAGCTACCCACCCATCCTTCTATCCAGCCTCTCTTATTAGAATGGGTAATGTGTCAATCACAGGTCAACTGCACTCAAGTCTATGTAAAAGCTCACATACAGGCAAGGCTGTAAGAAAAAAAGCTTTCATTGATTGTTGAAATGATTAATGAGCAGATAGTGCTAATGCTAACTAAGAATAGACAATTGCATTTAAAAGGCAGCTGGTGCATTTACATTCCAGCCATTTAGTTACTTTAAACAAAGCAACAGAAGTCAGCATTAATAAGCCAGTGTGAGTGCAAGCAGCGTGGTCATGAGGAAGCAAAATCAACATGTTCAGAGCAGAAAAAGGGGGACAGTGCCAGAAGCCGTTCCAAATGAGAGAGAAAATCTGCATGTGTTCTTGTTCAGGGTGTCAGATGTTTTATAGAACACTTAAATTATTCAGCCTTGTTTGCCTTTCAACATCTTCTTCTCTGCTCCACTGAGGGATCGCAGAGGCCTGGCATTACACCACCTGAGATGGTGCTGCCATCTACAGGCCTGAGCTGGTAATACCGATGCAATAACATAGTATCCACTGAGCAGTTGTTGTTCAATTACCACACAGCTCAGTTGTAGATTTAACTGATTATTTCTCTCTGTGTGTAGTTGCAAAAGCAACCATCACTGAAATCAGCTGCTGTAGTCTAAAAACCAGTAGACTTTTGGACTCTACAGGAAGGTCAGGGGGCAGATGGAGGCAGTTCATTAGAGAAATTATGGGAGTTCATGACATCTACACTATTATCCCATTAGCCCCTGATGCGATGTGTTAAAATCATTAACACAAATCAAAATTATGTTACAGAGAGTTTTAATGTTAAATGGATGTCAGTTATATGCATTATGTGTTTTTTCCATTCTTCCCTTAAACTGTCTATAAATAGCAGTTCACAACATTTGGAGACACAGCTGGTGCTGGGCCCTCCATCTGCACAAAACAGAACTACAGTATGTAGGTTAATGCACATGCATGCATATACACACACATACATCCACTGAAGCTTTGACCTTGCCAGCTGCACCTCACACACTGCGAAGCATGATTGCATTAGGTTTATATTGTGTTGCATCATCAACTTTGGATTATTCTTTGTTGATGTTCCCATTCTTACTCGGGAGAGAAAACAGAGCATGATGCCTCACTCACACAATATGAAAGAACAGATCATTCATGTTCATCCTTAGTAACTCTGTGTAGACTGCAGTCCTAACACAGAGCTTAACTTAATCTTTTCTGCTCTTTGTTCCTCTAACTCCCAACATGGGCTTCAAAATGTGAGACACACCAGGATGACAACTTGGGGTCAAAGGACTTCACTGGCCTCATGTTGAAGTTTGAAAAACAACAAAATAATTTCACTGCATCCCAGACTGTCTACCAAGAGATAAACTAGACACCGAATTTTCTTGCAAAAAAAATGAATGTGTACTAGGTATTGTTTGGTTAATACAAACCATCTGAAAGGTACTGAAACAATAATTAAATGGGAAAACTAACAGATTAGGGTTTCATATGTCACAGTACTTTTTCAAACACTAGGATGAAATATGATGTTTTAAAGGAGGGACCCTTCTACTGTATTTCCAAATATAAATCAGACAAACCAAGAGTAATTAAAAGGCCAGAGGCAATCAAAAATCAAAAACTCAATCTCAACATCCTTTCTGACAAAGAGACATTTAAGAATACCATCGATCATTTAGAAAAATGGCATAAAATCTATGAAGGGCTGTTAAAAAGCTGTTGCCATTTTACTGATATGAGATGTCCTCTTTGTCAGACGGCTGTAAGTTGTGAAGTTTATGGCACATTTCTCGCCATAAATGTTTCCCCTGCTGTTAATAAGTCATATGAATCCTACAGGAGATATTGGCTTTAATCATAAACCGATTCCTCTATAGGAAGCTCATTTATGAGATATCAAATTGGCAATCATGCATATCTGTTGAATACTCAGGTATGCACGCACATAGAGGAAGGGTAAATAAGTCACTCCAAAAGAGAGAAAAGAGAAGAAATGTATAAGTGTGTCCTTCACCTCACCGATATGTGATTATATCTGCTTATAAGGTAAAGAAACTTCCTTTTTCTCTACTGAAACAAGGCAGAACAACAGTGACGGAACCTAATTAACCTGCTTCCCAGATATAAGCCCAACGCTCAGGTAAACTTTTTGTGCAAGTAGGCAAGAGAACTTTCACTATAAAGCACCTTGTCTGTGTAACCATTGTCCTCAATAAAGCTCTACTCTGACAATAAATCCAAAAAGGGTTTTATCATCTGAGATTCTTTCTTTACTTGTTTACTTAATGTGGTTGCTTCATGTTACAATACAGTCAAAGCAGACTTTCCCTCTCTGCAGAAGTCCCATATGGTCGCTCTTCTGTCTCTCCTCAACTGAATTACTTTGACAAATGCTTTTTGAGCAGATGTGGTTAAAAAACACAGGTGGTGGCCAGACTCAAATCATTTTTCAACATGAAAATTCTATCCAGAGACAACTCATCTGTCTTAAAATGTACAGAATCATGTTTGAAGTTGATCATATTTGTCAGTTCAAGACATCCAGTGCTCCAATAAATTTTACTTTACTGTATATTCTACTTCATACAACCCAAATGCAACTAGCTATAGGAAGTGTTCCTATAACCAGGTGTTGACAGAACAGAAAGTGAGTAAGACAGAACATCTACAGTGAGAGGTGGAGGCTTTTTTAGGAGGAATTAGTGTGAGGGAGGTGATGTGTTTGCAGCCTGTGAGAGAAGAAGGGAAGTTACTCTGTGGCTCTGACTGTGTAGGGAAATGGGAGTTGGAGAACGCAGGCCTGTAAGACACTGAGGCAATAAAAGCGCTGCTTTACAACATGTCCCATACGTCCTTTTCTCTAATAAAGCCTCACTTAATTATCAGTAATTGCAATGCCGCCATGCCACCCTCCATCATCATGTCATCAGAGCTCAATCAATCTCACTTTCACTTGAGACAGTGCACCAAGCATCGTCTCCCCAGGAAGACTTGTCAGATTACAGCATGTGGAAGTAGCTGGCAGGAGCTAAGTGAATTATGTAAACTCAGTTAAATATCTGTCCAAGAGCACATACACACAAGGATATTCTTTGCATGTCCGGCAGTGAACCACCTAGTTTAGTATGGGCTAAACCGCAGCAAAGAATAGAAAAAGCACTAATGCAAAAAAGTATCAGCAGCTCAGACAGGGTCAGACCAAAACCTTCAGACAACCCGACACAAGCACAGCCTCTCTCCCCGTGCTGTACACCACACACTCTATATGTGAACCTACCTGTGTGACTTTCTCTGTGACGTTGTGGGTCCGGTCGATGAGTTTGCAGGGAGCTATGATGTCCATCTCCCCGGTGGGCAGGGCGATGAGAGGGTCAGGTTTGAAATCCACAAAGTTGAGGGTTATCTGAGGGATTTTGGAAATGGTTCGGTACCGCATGAGGTCGGAGTCCGATGTAGAGTTCAATATGTTGGACTTGCTGTTTACCGCGCCTGCAAACACACACACACAGCAAACAGTAAAGTAAAAATCAAAGGGGATAGAAGAAAGGTTTTTCCTCTCAGTCCTTACCGGTGCTGCTGCTGCCCGGCCGGATACTCGCTCTCCGGTTCTTTCGGTCCCAGTCGGGCCTCATGGCCTCGATCTCGTCTACGGAGGAGGCGCGACGCATACTGTGGAAGCTCTCCCGCGAGCGGCTGTGCGACATGGAGCAGTTGGAGCCTGAGCCCTCTGGGTTGAGGCTGAGGCGGTGGTGAGGTGCTACGCAGGGTGACGACTGGGCGAGGGGACCCACCAGGTGGGTTCTGTGCGGAGGAGGAGGTGGAGGTGGTACAGGAGGGTCACTGCTCAGTAAGGTGCGCTGGTCCTCCCGGCGGTCTTCCGGCCAACTCTGTAGCGCTAACCTAGGAAACAGAAGAGGACAAAATAGGTAAAAAGAGGATGTTACAGATTCTGTCTGTCACTGAACCAGATAGTTCAGATTGAAGCCCTGTGATGGATGAAAGTCCAACAGAATGCCACTGTTTTTGGCATCAGTGACCTTCGACATCACTGTGGGAGGAAAAGGGAAGAGGGAAGTTCCTGGCAGGAAGCATTATAAGGTTAGTTCGCTACAAGGAGCTTTACATGGGAAAAATAAAAAGGAGACACAATAAAGTGAGAACAATTCACACATTGGGTGATCACACTAAAATGAAGGCATTGTCAGAGTTGTGTTGTATCCTCATTTCACAATATTTAAAAAAAAAAAAAAAAGTTCATGAGTCTGGTTTAAGTGTCAAAAGTAATCCTCAGGGCCTACCTGCTTCCAGTGATTTGTTCCTGGTGGTCTGGTGGTAAAGGGGGAAGGGGCAGAAACTCCCCCGGGCCTAGGGACTCGTGACTGTGGTGGTCTGGGTGCAACGGCAGCGGTGTAGCAGTGGGGATGTGACCGGCCTCTGTGTCGTCCAGAGACGCTTTACTATTGGACAGGGAGCGCAGCAGAGGAAGACGCAGCTTGAAGCCTCGTGGACGACCTGGAGAAGAAGAGGAGGAGGGAGGAGAAGACTCATTATCTGCAGACTGACAGGTGGATTTCCAATATGAAACTCTGGCAGGAAGGTGAAATCAGAGTAGGGAACTAAAAGGATTTTGTAGATCAAAGGGAGAAACAAGTAGAGATATGATATAGGAGGATATTCTGGTTCGTGGGGGTCATGCTAGGAGAGAGGGAGATTTGAACTACAATCATGCCTGTCCAAACAGAAAAGCTTCAGAAACAATTTACTACAGGAATCTGGGACAGTGACAATGATCAGATTTTGGTTTTAGTCACAAAGTTAAAACAAGAAATCTGGTTAAGAGACAGACTGGATTCCAAATATCATCTGTGTCCTACTTCAAATGATGTCCCCAGGGTTATTCCTGGTGTTCATGGAAACACAAGTACTCAGGTTTTCACAGGAATAAAATTACTTAGCAAATATCACAACCACGTGGCCTTTCTGCAAAATGAAATGAACAAAGGATCCAGGTAAATTAAAGTGATGGTTGCCACTTCTCACTGACTGCACATAATAAGTCCACCTCAGTTAAAGGCAATGTAGATGAACATGGTTTTTAAGCACTGAGTCAAAATATTAATTTTCCAAATTAGTGTGTCAGTCAACAGGGTATTTTAATTCCTTTTATGTTGCTGTGTACTCAACTGACATATTTACTTAATGTTTGTTCTAATGATTTTCTGAGCTTTCTATTTCAAAAATGTGCTCAAATATATATAATGGTTTAGTAGTGAGTGGGGGGACAACAGGTAAAATGTGTCAACAAGCATCACTTCTGCGTTTCCAAAGTTGCTCAAACCTGACCTGATTAGCTTAGAATAGAAAACAACAAACAAAAACAAAAAAACAACAACAAAATAAGGTTAGCCGGTCGCTACCTGTGACAAGCCAGGTGGGCAGGCGGTGGTTGAGCTCCTCTTTGTGGTCTTGGAATGTATCTTCTGTCATGACCTCAAAGTTGAGGATAAACATGATCACCACGCCATCCTCGTTCTTCACTGGCACCACATCCACCATACACAGCAAGCAGTGACCTGCGTGGGAAGAGATAGATAAAGCTCAGACTGATTGTATTTGGTGGAGATTTTCATCCGGGAGCTCTTACGGCGCCAAAAGTGCATATGGTTTTAGTATGGGGATTAAAACCTCTAACCCTGCAGAAGTTATTTGAGGAAACAGCATAAGCTTGAACAGCAGCAACATTGCTTCTTTACATACAACACACAAGCTTAACTATTTTAACGACTGTGTGAAATTGTTCATAATACATTTGTGTGAGGGAACACTGGCAGGCGCTTTATGAGCAGTCACAGATGCATATGACACTGTAAACGTGAGCATATATTTACTAATTACACCCATTTTTTAATTCTCTCTCATTAAAAGTGCATCTGCGCTTAATCAGCTCACACACTCTCTTGCATATGAGGCCAGGCACGTTCGCTAATCTGCCATGAGTGCTAAAACAGCTAAGTAAGCATGAAATTAGACAACATATGACAGTAAGTTGGTGGGACATTTCTGCCAGGTCTATAGGCATGAATACACCGTACATACCAGCTCGAATGGAAGTCAAAATAAGCTGCTATTCTGGTTTTGACACAAGGAGTTTGAACCTTCAAAGCATCAAAATAGTACACACAGACACTGAGATGAAAAAGGCACTGTCACCTTAATTTGAAACACTGAAAAATCAAACAGGAATAGATGAAGGCAAAATCAATACAACTACCAAGAACACCTCAAAGAAGAATGCTACATTATTAACATTCAGTGGAGATTATCTGGAAGCATATACTGAACATGTCCAGACAAATGCATGGTTATTTATGGTATAATGGATACATAAGTCTCCAGCATATGAATATTGGAGCCCTCGCCCTGCACACTGAAAAAATGTCAACAACTACAGAATATCCAGATTTTCCAAAAGCAGGTGTAAAATAATTAACTATGCCAAAAACTGCAGGTAGACGTAAGCTAAAACAGATATAACACTATAACATCAGTTATAACGCAAAGAAAAAAGTCAACATGCAAATCATATTGATGATAAACTAAAAGGGATTTTGTCCCATTTGGAAATATGCATTTCTTTAAGGCATGCTTAAATAGAGCTCCATCTCTGTGACACAAAAATGAACAGACAGCAATTATATGACTGTAATTTTACTCTCAAATCTCAGCAATGTATTCAAAACGATCTGTCTGTCTGAAGTACCCGGCAGTCATATTGTCATGTTACACATCATTTAAATCCAATTTAATCTGTCCTTCTAGACCATACAACTCCTTGTCCCCCTTGGTCCGATAAATAACCTAATAAAACCAAGCTACAGTGAAATGTTTCCAGTTTGCAATGTCAGAATAAAGGCTCACACTGTGCATCAGCTTTATGAGAATTGAAGAAAGCTATTTAGTTTGTCACTGTAATCCTCTTGCTAATATTTGTTTCACCCTAAGCAAGGACGCCTTTGACACTGCATAAAGTGGCCTTTTTGGGTCAAATAGTTCCCCTAACATTTCCCAGCGTACCTGGCTCTGGCCCATCCCGTCTCTTACCTGTACAGCGATGGTCAGTGACCGGCAGCCACAGCGTTTTTTGGCAGCGTGGACTGACACAGTATGTAGTGCAACCCAACGTACAGTGAGTCTACTGCATGCCTGCCTCACTAACTCACCCACCCGCCTGTCATTCATCTCACATCATCGCCAGAGAGTGGGCCGAAATCCGATTGGACAACAGCATAATCCCAACACAGGGGGAAAAAAATATGAAACACAGGGAAACTAAAGGATTACACCATCTGGCCATATCTAGCAGTGTGTGTGTGTATGCGTGTTTCTGTGCATGCATGCTAATGTGCACACGTGTACAGTAGGTAGATGCCCAGCCTCATGTTTCATTCATAAGCTATTGGGTCATGTCCATTCATGCCTGTTTTCATTAACAGCTGTGACCCTGCATTTGCAGGCTTTTTAATCGCTGAAGGTGTTGCTGCATCACGCCTAAAGCTGCTTTACACAGCCCTGCAGCATGCCGCTCCAGGCAGAGGACACTTGCAGACAATGCAAACAAGCAATGTTTGTATGGCTAGATTTTGTTACTAAGAAGAGACTGAGAATGACAGAAGCTGAAAAATATGATATCCTGATCATCGCCAGTTTACGCAGGAACATATTTAAACCAATAGCAGACATGTTTTGGGGGAAAATGTTTTATCAACTTGTTCAGTGTTAACAATTTCAGTTAAAAACTTCACATGTGATTTAAAAAAATCACATATTACTTTGTCAAAGAGATTAAATTGGATTAATGGATTTCCTCACTGATCCAATTAATGTCACATGAACAGTAATCAGAGACAGTTTTCCAGCACTGGTCCTCCCTCTAGAGGGCTTTCATTTATTTCCCATGTTGCTAGGTGGATTATATTCTTGGAACTGCTGTACAAGTATTTGTGGAAAACAATGCCTTAAAACCATTTTGAGGCTGTCAGTCCAAGACATTGAGCCAGCAGCTCTTTATTTACTCAGTAGTCTCCCAAACCAAACTGTAAAAGCAGTACACTATGTGTGTGTGTGTGTTTCTGTTAAGACACAGTGATGTGTGTTTTGCAGATGACAGATGTGATTTGAACAAATACACACATTTGCATGCACACACACACACACACTACAATGTAGGATTAAATGTCAACACAAGAGGATTTAACTTCAGCTCTAATACATCATAAGACAAAGTATTTATTGTAAGTTCTTCGAGTCAATCTGGAATACTAGCTGTTGTGTTCTGTGTGTGTATATTTTAAAAAACACATATGATGTATAATAACCATACATGCATCAATACATGAGTGCACTGTGCTCTACTGTACTTTAGAAAACATACTCTGTAACAGTGGGTTTATATGTGTGTGTGTGTCCTGAATTTGGCAGAGTAGTGATAATCAAGGATTAGGCCTACATATTTTTGGCCCATCAGACCTACTTGTTGTTGACCATCATACTGTCTCCATCTACTGTAAAAGATTTCCTCCAAGAGCATTTGAAATGAATTGAGCTCTGAGGTTAACAGGGCAAATGCCATTTCATCTAAATGCTCCCCTTGGATGGATTCCAATTCAGAGTGTACCAGCTGATAATCTGATTCAGCGTTGCTGATTTACAAAGCTCTGGGAGATTATCACAATACGCTAAAACACATCCAAAAAAAGCAGAGTGCAAACTGCTCATGGCGGCCCAGGGATGGCCCAGTGATCATACATACACAGTGTTTTCAACTAAAAGGCCAGATGGACTACTGAACTAATGTAAAGGACTGTTCATTGGAGGAGGCTGACCATTAATAGAAAACAAAAGGGTTGGCACTAAAATCTGCTGATAATGCTAATGCTTTAGCATACAATAGCAATTGAGTAAGTGAAAAACTGAGACCTTGTAACAGGCGGGATTATTTACATTAAATTTAATTACATTTCTCTGGCATGTGGACTTTGAGTGCTACAGAGTAAACAATAAGCAAAAGAAAGTTATTATTTCTAATGATAAATCATAATACCACATTTTATTCTCTACCATATATGGTCTATCAGGAAGGATTACGCTGTTTTAGATGTATGGTATCATAAAGAGCTGCATTGGAAACAGTGCATGTGGATTTACTGAGGTTGAAGTGATACAACTGAAGTACAGAACTGAGGCAAGGATGGACAAATGAAAGAAAAAGGTTGGTGGGTTGAGAGGATGAAGAAAAATGAGGTGGGCAAAGAGAAATCTTGAAAAAAAATTAAAAAGTATAGGGTAGGTGGGATGACTCATTAACTGGATGGGATGGGCAAAGAGGGGGAAATGGAAAAAGGTATGTTGGAAATAAGGAAAGAAGTTAAAAAGAAATATGAAAACGGAGCAATGACAGAGGGACAGTAGGAAAAGAAAGGAATAAACAAATTAAGAAAGGATTACTCATTAGTTTTATTGGTTTAGCAGTCCAGTCAGACTCAGTGTGAGGGGAACTGACTGTAAATGACATTGTTGCTCGGTGGGTTTAAAGGGGCAAGGAGGGAAGGATTAGCTGTTCAGGAACATCTTTCTTCCAGGTTAGCAGGAAAGGCGAGAGGAGGGTTAGGGTTACCAGATACCAGTAAACAAGGATTTGCCTGCTTCCCAGTAACCCGATGTCAGATCACATTCAGCTCTGAAGCTGAACGCTTCCTCTGATGTGAGAACTCCCTAGAAGGTGAGGGAGGTTTTTAAGTCTTTCTCTTTTTGACCTCTTCAACCTGAGAAAGGTAAAGAGGTGAACCCACACCTCTCTTTCCATGCTACCATCCCTCTCTGCCACAGACCATCCGGCCATGTGCTGGATTAGAAATTAGTATCATAATCTCTGCTATAGAACAAGTGGATTAAAGGAATAAAGATTAGTGTTCAAACAATCAGCTCCTAACTCCTGTACTGAGGTGAAGGGATCAGAGAGGTGTGCTTACGGTCAGAGATAACTCAACACTAAATTAAAATAAAATGGCATTTCAGAGTTGTACATTGGCACTAAACATTACTATTAGAATTGTTTATAGTATAGTATGGAAAGTATTTAAGATACTACAGCCAAGTTTTAGATTTTTATTAGTAACTTTTTATTACTATTAGACTATTGTTGTTATCATGGGGCTTCTGATTGTCTCTATAATTACTTTCCTCTTCTAAATACTATTATATAGAAAGCTAGACCAGCTGAAGAAGGAATAGTAATAGTTAGGTGGCAGGTAAAATCTTATCGTTCTCTGAAATTTCAGGAACTCAGAAGCATCATCATCTGGAGTTCCCATGTACATTTACTGAATGCTGATGGAAACAAAGGGCAATGTTCCAAAGGTTCTGCCATATGACACACATTCAACACCAAAATACAATATTACTATCCACTCGTCCTAGTGAACAGCGGTGTCTATACACTTGTAGATCGGTCACTAGACAAGGCATTTATTTTCAAT